GGCGGACATTAACTAAGGATGGAAAAATGTGTGTGCAAACCCTCAGAGTAATTGGTTAAATACCATCGCAGTGAGAGCTTCATACATTTTAGCTATTTTGAAGCGATTTCCTTGGTGAAAACCAAGAAAAACCGGGGGGGTGGTCTATCTCCCCCCGGAAAAAATCAAAACAGAAACCAGTTTGTCTTTTTAATTTTGGGGTAGACCCAGTAAACTGGCAAAGTTTCATTGAAATCGGTGAGATGACACATAGCACGACTGCCTGGTGCTCTCGTGGACACACTGTTGAATTCCCTCTTGTTAGACAAAACTTAGACTTTAAAATTTCCTTAGAGAAAGACAAGTGTAGAGAATCTATTTCTTTAATCAATCATTCTTTTAGCCAGGGATACTTCCACTCTATTCCTATTCTCTTTCCAGGTGTCATTCAAAGGAACTGGCCCTTTAGAAACTGACTAGGATGTCAACTTAACCATTGAGACCAGAGGTGTGTTATGATTGGTTTTTGTTCTAGCCTTGCAAGTGCTTTTCAAGCACCTCTTATCTAACTTGAATGCTTTAGAATAATGCAAACAACACTATTACCACTGAAAGTTAAGTAACCAGAAAGTTTGTTCACTAAATTAAAGTCTCAATGACCCAGTTTCATCCAATTTACAAAGAATGAAAATAGATGTGCTGTACCATTATAATTGGATAGTTACAAGTAGATGTACAAAGAAAATACCAAGTTTTTTGTCCAGTATTGGAATATTAATTGACTTTGTCAGAAATTAAAGAATTTCCTCGTTATTTGGAACTTTAAAATAGTATAAAATTTATTAACTTCTGTTATTAGGATGACCACAAAAATAGGGTGGTTCAGACTTGATTGAAGAAATACGGCATACTGGCAATTATATGACATAAGTTTCACAATATTTGAAAATTTAATGTTGCAGATGATAATAACAAGAATGCAGGAAAGAAAGTTAAGAAGATGAAGAAGAGGATAAAAGAATTGGATAAAAAGGTGTGAAAAGGGAAATCTAAAGAAACAGATAACAAGAAGAGGGAAAGGAAGAGAAAACCAGAATTTTTCATTTTTGTGGCAAATATAATTGCCACAAAAATGAAAAACAAAGATATAGCATTGAAGTGAGCAAAATAAGTAAAAGTCAGATGAGAAGGCTAAAAGGCACAAAAAGTTTTCGTTTTTGCCTGCTGTCATGAGGTTGGGCAATTATATATAATATATATATATATATATATATATATTTATAAAATAATTCAAATAGTACGCGCGCTCTGATTGGCCATAAAACCATTTTACATGAACGTATGTAAACACGGTTTTCGTTCCTCTTTCATTAGTTATTTTATTAAAAGAAATGTAAAATGGTTTCCGTGTTTACATAGCCTGATGTAAACACTTGGGAGGTTGGGAGAACACGAGATAAGAAATAATTACATTTCTTCAATGTATTGTCATAAAAAATTTTTTTAGCCAATTTTCTCTAAAGCAAACTTGAAGAAAAGGAAGCTTTTTATTGACTTCAGTCAGTTACACAATACAAATGTGAAAGAGCAAGTCAAATTACAACTTGCTTTCTCACATTTTGGCCATGACATGAATGAACTGAAATCAAGAGTCACAATGCATTGTCTTCATATCTCATTTGTTGGGAATTCGTTTATCATTACCTCACCTTACTGAATGTTATTGCACAATTTGTTGAGTTTGATTTATATGAATTCGACACAGATTGGAAATGAATTTATGTTGCTTCCTAATACTGTGAGCTTTTCATGCTGCTTGGGTTTTCAATAGGAGAAAAGAAAAAGCATAGTTGAGAGAAAGAAGTGATGATAAACTTCATGAAACTTCATGATCATTGTCCCTGATAAACAATTGATCCTTGTTCAAGTTCAAATGTAATTTTTGTATGGTAGGATTCATTTTCAATATGAAACCAATACAATTGAACAGAAAAATCCTAATACTTACAGGTACATTGATCACCAGAAACTGCAGCAATCAAGTTTGAAAAGCTCACTGTTTGCAAGTTTCAAAGCAACAGTGGTACATTAATTTAAGATTTTTCCACTAATAACAATTTCCAATGTCATTTTTAAATTCATGATTTTTACCTGATGTCCGCTGAATTGTACCCTGTCTGCAAGACAACCTTTCACGTTGAATACGCAACCATTAAAGGAAAAGAGAGCCCATAACATGTCATTAACCTTGTTTTAAAACAAAATAAGATGGGCTTCATGCATTGGAGTCTGGTTGAGTGGTAACTGATCGCTTGCTTAATTTGAGCCGGTTGAGTGATTAACCCCTTTACACCCCTCCATTGTTAGTCATATTCTCCACCCTTTCCTCTTTGCATTTCCTAGGATCCCATTTTCTATGGTACTGACAAGGGGAATTTGTTTGACAATCAAGAGCTTCTTAAATTGGAGATCATTTCCATTATTGTCATGACCTAGCTTTACATTTAATTCAAGGGTGATACTATGAGGAAAAAGTAGAAGCCAGTCGCTCTTTGGGGGTTTAAAGGTTCACTGATGGAAACAATGAACGGTAACCGAAATATACGTAGCATTATCGGGGACTGTGCCTGAGATAGTGCTGTAACAGCTCAGAGAGCAACAGAAAATGCATAATATTTAGTTTGACGTTCAGCGAGCTGGGAAGCTTAGATTTGTGAAAAAATACAAAATTGTTCTGGTTTACAACTTATGTACGGGCACACAATATTCGTACATCCTGTGTGTTTCGGCTTTCATTTATCTGCATGAGTTCAAGAGTTTGCTACACAAAGGTATATCGTAACTAGTACCTAGAATTCTATGTGCATACTAGGGTAAAGATGTCATAACCCTGCCTCATCAGTCATAACCTCCAAATCATTGCTTACTTCAATAATTGAGGAGAAATGGTGCCCAGTTTTTTTTGTTAAGGAAGGCTGTTACTTAAAATATATTCCTTTTAACGTTTTCTATGCAAAGTACAGTCTTTGGACAAGTTGAAAGTGTAGACACGATAAACCAAAAAGGAACACCAAGTACGTTCCTTAAGTTGGAAAATAATATATGTTACTGTTACGGTATCATCTAACCCACAAAAAAAACACTGCAATCCTACAAACTCAACCACTTTATTAAAACAACAAGTAATAATCTTAAGAAACGACTCGTAAGGGCAGTACAGTATTTATCGTTAATAAACTCAATTTTGAACGGTATCTTACGACATACAGACCGAATTTTGAACGGTGCGTTGCACCATAGGGTCTGACTTTTTCAGGGGTCTGAGTTTTCGACACACCCAAGGGTCAGAGTTTTTCGGGGTCTGAGGTTTGAGTTTTCGAGACACCCTTATAACAGCTGTTACCCCGACATTCTGACATTTCATCGACTTATGATAAGTCGATGGAATGATGGAAAAGTGACACGAGGCTAGTGGTTTGTGACAGGAAATTAAATTCTAGGGCACACTACACAAAAGATTGTTAATTAAGACTTAAAAAATATTGGATACTAACAGTGGACACAAATCACCCTTATGGAATCCATTAAAGTTTTGTATTCTCTACTATTAGTGTTCAAAGTTATCTAATTTTAATGCCATATAATCCATTGATTTGATCTCAAAATATCCTGATGCAAGCGAATTCCAATGAGTGAAATGTTCCAGCTTCGCTGTAAATACGTGTCATGTTCTACTCCAGTGTTGATATCCAGAAATTAAGATTTTTTTATCTAGTATATAAACCTGTCATCGAAATGCGCTTGTCATGTTAGGTAAATCTCCCTCACAGGACTAACTTCTGACGAAGTTCTGTTTGGTTCAAGTTACCTGGTACCTATCTTAAGAGGGTGGGGTCGAAAGCCCCAGACAGAACCCTTGTCCATATGGAGACTAATCGGGAATGGTAATACCTAATAGGAGCACATGGCTCCTTCCGGCACAACTCTGCGGATCACTAGGGTACGCAAGCTTCCTAACCTCGTCAAGGTGAAAATGTAGCTTTTATGTTCTGATTCTAACAAACCTTTAAATGTTTCACATACACTTGAGTGACAAAAGAATGGAATGAATGGGTTGCCAGCAATCGGATCCTGTGCTTGCGCACTGATTTCTGGGATCGCCACGGGGCAAACATTGCAACTCTCTAGAAGGAAATGCATAGCGAAAGGTTGTTCCGACGTCCAAAAAAATTATTTCTGAGATATATCCATTCAATAGCCGAAAAAACTTGAGCGAAAGACCGTAGAGCGGCACGCAATTGTTGCACGAGCATGCTGGCTCGCCATGCCCGCTGTTCTACGCCTGACAAAAAATTTAACTGTCGTAGTCTACCCACTATTGGCTTGCATTTTGAGGGTTTTCATAGGACGTCACGGCAGCCATACCGATGTTCCAGAATAAAAGTTTGTTTCCCAAATTTCATATCCATTCAATAGCCGAAAACACTTGAGCGGAGGACCATAGAGCGGCACGCAATTGTTGCACGAGCATGCTGGCTCGCCATGCCCGCTGTTCTATGCCTGACAAAAAATTTAACTCTCGTAGTCTACCTACTATTGTGTTTTGAGTGATTACTTGGATAAATTAAAAAAAGATTACAAACATTTCAAATTAAAAAAGGGCAAATTTTGCGTTCATTTGTAATACATATCAGCCAAGAATATCATAAAGTAAATTTAGTTCACCTGTTTGTAGCCCTTTAATCTTTTTTAATCATTTTTCGTAGTAATTCTAACAAAAACTTACACTTCCATTGTATCAACATTATCTTTATCCATTTGTGATAAAACTGCGGTGAAAAAGCGATGATCTCTCTCCAAAATCGTTTCTTTTGGACGTCGAAACAACCTTCCGCCATACATTCCTTACCAGCGGGTTGCAATGTTTGTCCCGTTGCGATCCCAGAAATCTGAGCGCAAACACAAGGATCTGATCACTGGCAATTCATTCATTCATTGGAATTTTAAACAATACTGCGCAATTACTGAAAAATTTGTATCCGCACCAGCATGGTATTATTCCTGACATACTGCGGCTCGCGGATCGCCTCAATTGGTGCAAACTCAACATATCCATACCCCTTGTAGTTGCGCGGTGCTGTGGGTCTTTGGAAAGCCAACAGGTTAGGCTTAGCCACCAGGGTCTCACTGATGTGGTGACGGTATTCAGCACCATCAGACTGATCCAAAATGGACAGAGCAATTCTTCCCGTAAAGGGCCATTCCAGAATGCTGTCATAATCTCCCTGCATCATATGAACAAACAGCGCCACGTGTTTTCCAACACCGCTATCCACACCGTTCAAGTTGATCCTCATATACAATTTGTAGCCGTAAACACTGGTGTAGAAGGATGGGCTGTGGATTGCTGTCATCACCCCACTGAGGGCATCTTGGCGGTATTGTCGATAGTTATCGATCTTCCAAATATATGCTCCGTTACACAAACGCCCCTCAACCTCTGACGATTTCGTTACACATCTGTTGAATCTGAAGTAATAACAAGAATTATCCATCAAACACTAGCAAGTCGAGATCCCAAAAGAGCAATATCTTGAGGAAAATAGGAGAGTGGGGCTTTGCTTAAGAGCTTTGATGTAAATGCCCGGCCAAATCCACACAACATTTCAACGCAACATTTTACAACATTTTGCAACATTGTTGCGCGCAACGTGTTGGCCACCTAGCAAGATAGTGGATGGTGTTGGATCAAGTTGAAAGTTGGATGCTGTAAGATGTTGCGCGCGTTTGGCTAGCTCCTTCTCAACATCTCACAACACGGTCCAATAATGTTGCAAGATATTGCGTTGACATGCTACGTGCGCTTGCTCAGGCCTTGAGGCTTTGCCTTCTTACTAGATGTTGTTTGCCGTTTGTAATTAACTCCAATCGGGTTTGGGAACTTTAAGTAAGGCATCAAGAAATTATTTAAATATAATTTGTCTAATTGTGTACCTCGATACCTTTAAAAACTTTCACAAGCCGGTTGCTTGAATTGTTGGTAGCTTTCGCTTTCACATGAAGGAAAAGTTCGTTTCTTTGTTCTTCGGTTATGGGACGCCGAGTGCATTTTCATCATTTAGAGTGGTTACATGTATTTATTAAATTTCAAACTCCGAATGTTGCATTTCAAGTCTTCTAATTGATTCACTGAATTCTGTTTAATTACTCATATTCCGAGTCAACTTAAAAGGAAATGCACAGCGCCAACGCCAACGCCAACTTTATTTGACGTAACTTGCGTGCACATGTTGCAATATAATGTATTCTTGTGACGTAACTTGCGTGCGAATGTTGCACTATGTTTTCTTGTGACGTGGGTTGCAAGCATACGTTGCGCTGTAATGCATTCTCTTCCGACGTAGGCTGCATGTTTTAGGGAGACATAATTAACTCGTTTGGACCAGTCAGAATCAGTTTTTTATAATGGCTATCTAATTAAATATTATAAACTGTGCAAATATCTGTTCTGTTCTCCAAAAAGGAATAGGTTCTTTTTCACCACAAGAATCATGCAACCGAGATATACCCCTCTCCTCTTTAGTACTATATTTATATGTACGATTAATACATATTAATCGTACATAATATAATTAGTACAACGCAATCATGCGCTTAGTGGAAAATTCAAATGCATAATTTACTGCTAACCTGAAAGTCAAATCTCGGATCTGATTTTCCTGTCTCATACCAGTCTCCTCTAGCTGCCTCTCGAAATGACGTGTTCTATTGCGTAACTCGGCTACCGTGCGCGTCAATTCGTCCACCTCCTCGCGCCGAGTTTGAGTCCTGTTTGACAAATGTAGAGTAGAAAGCTGCGAATATGGCAAAAATAGAAAATTAGGCAAAATGGCCATAAAACCATTTTGGTAAGGATGGCAATTTGACAAAATTGGCAAACATGGCGAAAATGGCAAAAGAAAAAAAATGAGCATGATGCAAAAGCCTCTAATGATTGGTTATTGTGTGCAATTGTTTTTAACTCGGCTACCTTACGACACAATTCGCCCACCTCCTCGCGCCGAGTTTGAGTCCTGCTTGAGTTATCTGGAGTAGAAAGCTGCGAATATGGCAAAAATGGAAAATTAGGCAAAAATAGCGATAAAAACATTTTGGTAAAGATGGCAATTTGACAAAAATGGCAAATATGGCGAAAATGGCAAAAGAAAAAAAAAATGAGCATGATACAAAAGCCTCTAATGGTTGGTTATTGTGTGCAATTGTTTTTAATATTATAGCATCAATTGCCAAAGAAGAGTGTTGTTATATCATATAATACAGCTGCAATTATTTTGTATTTGGGGAATTGTTTTCAAAAAAGCAGAGCAACACAACTTGTTGCCACATGCATCATGAAGACTCACTTATTCATTAACATTGTATGACATTGTATGCACTAAGCCTTAACGATAGTTCTCATAAATGCCTCTGTTAAAATAGGTTAGGTTTTACACCAGTCAGTTCATTGGAGTTTACTTTTCAGTCAAAGGGGCTCTTAGGAGAGGCCACATTTTCTTTTTCTTTAACAGATGTACATATTTGTACATGGCAAATATTATTGCAGAAGGAATGGATATAAGCAATGTTTTGAGTGAAATAGGTCAAGCTAGGTCACTCTTCTTAAGAAAAAGAAATGCTGATACATAGAATGTAGTAAATGAGTGAAAGTTAGAAGATTTGAGTTGAAGAAAAACACTGGTTGCAACAAATGAACTCAGATAAATCTAGTAGAGAGTTAATCATCTTTCACGTTTCTACTCACCTGTCTTCTCGGTATGTTTTCTTTCTTGCGGCTATCACATTCCACAGGGAATTTAGGACACTCCTCATAATGGTCCTGAAAACGAAGGAGAATATTTTTGAGAATGACTCAAGAAAGTGCCCTAATTATGTTATAATCACATGTCAACGGAAACAAGTAACTATTGGAAAATTTCAACCTTGTGAGTACAATTTAGTTCTTTTTCCACACATTTCCAAGCTGAACTTTTAGGGACGGGGGTCACTATTAAAACTATTGTAATTGGGATCGCTAATGAACTTTAAAAAATCTTTTTGCTGGTATATCAACTCTAGTCAAACTCAAACTGTCATCGTTACCATAATTGTTGCAAGTTTTGGACCTTTCAGGATACAGCAATTGTTGAACAATAAGAGTGTTCAATTCGCAATCTAGAGTTCCTGAGATTTACATTCTTCTCTGTACCACTCTATGGACTTGTTCTTGGTTGTCCCTAATTCAACTCTTTGCTTGCTCCATACATTAAATAGCCAGTTGGTTTGCCCCTTGTGGCTAGAATTTTTAACTAATCTGCGATTAGAGAATCAACACCTTCATCTTAAAATAATGAAAGCAATTCAATAAATCTCTATTTTCTCTCTGTACTCAGGTGATTGATGTAGTTTTCTCTGACAAAACATTTTGGAAAGCAACTTCTCTATCAGTGCTAGGGCTACGCAGGCCTCAATCTAGCTCTAAGATTAGGCCCCTTTATCCTGCCATTGCAAGCAAGACAAACCTCTAATTCATTCCACTTTATCTCTTTTTTGCGGTGTTTGCAAGGTTTTGTCCTGTTGGGACATTCTTTCTCCAGATGCTCTTTAAGATCCTTCCTCTGCATTTCTTTTCCACACCCTTTGGGGCACTTCACAGCAACAAAGTCACAATTGCTCAAATGCTCCTACCCATCAAAATGAGAATCAGTACATGTGGTTCCTGAAGAAATTATTATGCTGTGTTAGTGAGTGGAAACAAAAAAAGTACATTTAACTGTGTCTTGCTACTGGCATACACTGATTATTGATTTCAACTTAATATACTGTACTTTGCAAAGAGTTGAATCCATCTTTCTCCTCCTTGTTAAAACAGTCTCCTAAATATTACAAACATCAACTTCTATCTTTATCAAACACAAGTTTTTGAGAATAGGGTTACTTCCCAAACTCAGGTCTTAATAAAAGATAATTGGCAATGGCATTCATTATTAAAAGAAATTGTGCTCATACTATCATAATACCTCTAACTTTCCCAGCTTTCCCTTCCAAGTACAGCTGCGTTGCTTTTTCATACGACAGAATACGTTCTACCACCTTAACCCGCATCTACCCTAAGTTAACCATGTTGTACCACGTTAACCCACATCTACCCCAGGTTAGCCATGTTCTACCACGTTAGCCCGCATCTACCCTAAGTTAACCATGTTCTACCTCGTTAACCCGCATCTACCCTAAGTTAACCATGTTCTACCACGTAAATCCGCATCTACCCTAAGTTAACCATGTTCTACCACGTTAACCCGCATCTACCCTAACTTAACCATGTTCTACCACGTTAACCTACATCTACCCTAAGTTAACCATGTTCTACCACGTTAACCGCATCTACCCTAAGTTAACCATGTTCTACCACGTTTACCCGCATCTACACTAAGTTAGCCATGTTCTACCACGTTTACCCGCATCTACCCTAAGTTAGCCATGTTCTACCACGTTAACCCGCATCTACCCTAAGTTAACCATGTTCTACCACGTTTACCCGCATCTACCCTAAGTTAGCCATGTTTTACCACGTTAACTCACATCAGCCCTAAGTTAACCATGTTCTACCATGTTAACCCCCATCTACCCTAAGTTAGCCTTGTTCTACAACGTTAACCTGCATCTACCCTACGTTAAGGAGGTTCTACCACGTTTACCCGCATCTACCCTAAGTTAGCCATGTTCTACCACGTTAACCCGCATCTACCCTAGGTTAGCAATGTTCTACCATGTTAGCCCACATCTACCCTAAGTTAACCGTGTTCTACCACGTTAGCTCGCATCTACCCTAAGTTAACCATGTTCTAAGACGTTAACCCGCATCTACCCTAAGTTAACAATGTTCTAAGACGTTAACCCGTATCTACCCTAAGCTAACCATGTTCTAAAACGTTAACCCACATCTACCCTAAATTAACCATGTTCTACCACGTTACCCCGCATCTACCCTAAGTTAACCATCTTCTACCACGTTAACTCACATCAGCCCTAAGTTAACCATGTTCTACCATGTTAACTCCAATCTACCCTAAGTTAGCCTTGTTCTACCACGTTAACCCCCATCTACCCTGAGTTAACCATGTTCTACCACGTTAACCCGCATCTACCCTAAATTAGCCATGTTCTACCACATTAACCCGCATCTACCCTGAGTTAGCCATGTTCTACCATGTTAGCCCACATCTACCCTAAGTTAACCGTGTTCTACCACGTTAGCCCGCATCTACCCTAAGTTAACCATGTTCTAAAACGTTAACCCGCATCTACCCTAAGTTAACCATGTTCTAAGACGTTAACCCGTATCTACCCTAAGTTAACCATGTTCTACCACGTTAACCCACATCTACCCTAAATTAACCATGTTCTACCACGTTAACCTGCATCTACCCTAAGTTAACCATGTTCTACCACGTTAACCCGCATCTAACCTAGGTTAGCCATGTTCTACCACGTTAACCCGCATCTACCCTAAGTTAACAATTTTCTACCACGTTAACCCCCATCTACCCTACGTTAACCATGTTCTACCACGTTAACCCGCATCTACCCTAAGTTAACCATGTTCTATCACGTTTACCCGCATCTACCCTAAGTTAGCCATGTTTTACCACGTTAACTCATATCAGCCCTAAGTTAACCATGTTCTACCATGTTAACACCCATCTACCCTAAGTTAGCCTTGTTCTACAACGTAAACCCGCATGTACCCTACGTTAAGCAGGTTCTACCACGTTTACCCGCATCTACCCTAAGTTAGCCATCTTCTACCACGTTAACCCGCATCTACCCTTAGTTAACCGTGTTCTACCACGTAAGCCCGCATCTACCCTAAGTTAACCATCTTCTAAAACGTTAACCCACATCTACCCTAAGTTAACCATGTTCTAAGACGTTAACCCGTATCTACCCTAAGTTAACCATGTTCTACCACGTTAACCCACATCTACCCTAAATTAACCATGTTCTACCACGTTAACCTGCATCTACCCTAAGTTAACCAGGTTCTACCACGTTAACCAGCATCTACCCTAAGTTAACCATGTTCTACCACGTTAACCCACATCTACCCTAAGTTAACCATGTCCTACCACGTTAACCCGCATCTACCCTAGGTTAACCATGTTCTACCACGTTAACGAGCATCTACCCTAAGGTAACCATGTTCTACCACGTTAACCCGCATCTACCCTAAGTTAACCATTTTCTACCACGTTAACCCCCATCTACCCTACGTTAACCATGTTCTACCACGTTAACCCGCATCTACCCTAAGTTAACCATGTTCTACCACGTTAACCCGCATCTACCCTAAATTAACCATGTTCTACAACGTAAATCCGCATCTAACCTAGGTTGACCATGTTCTACCACGTTAACCCGCATCTACCCTAACTTAACCATGTTCCACCACGTTAACCCGCATCTACCCTAACTTAACCATGTTCTACCACGTTAACCCGCATCTACCCTAAGTTAACCATGTTCTACCACGTTAACCCACATCTACCCTAAGTTAACCATGTTCTACCACGTTAACCGCATCTACCCTAAGTTAACCATGTTCTACCACGTTAACCCCCATCTACCCTAACTTAACCATGATCTACCACGTAAATCCACATCTACCCTAGGTTAACCATGTTCTACCACGTTAACCCGCATCTACCCTACGTTAACCATGTTCTACCACGTTAACCCGCATCTACCCTAAGTTAACCATGTTCTACCACGTTAACCCGCATCTACCCTAAGTTAACCATGTTCTACCACGTTAACCCGCATCTACCCTATGTTAACCATGTTCTACCACGTTAACCCGCATCTACCCTAAGTTAACCATGTTCTACCACGTTAACCCGCATCTACCCTAAGTTAACCATGTTCTACCACGTTAACCCGCATCTACCCTAAGTTAACCATGTTCTACCACGTTAACCCGCATCTACCCTGAGTTAACCATGTTCTACCACGTTTACCCGCATCTACCATAAGTTGACCATGTTCTACCACGTTAACCCGCATCTACCTTAACTTAACCATGTTCTACCACGTTAACCGCATCTACCCTAAGTTAACCGTGTTCTACCACGTTAGCCCGCATCTACCCTAAGTTAACCATGTTCTAAAACGTTAACCCGCATCTACCCTAAGTTAACCATGTTCTACCACGTTAACCCGCATCTACCCTATGTTAACCATGTTCTACCACGTTAACCCGCATCTACCCTAAGTGAACCATGTTCTACCACGTTAACCCGCATCTACCCTAAGTTAACAATGTTCTACCACGTTAACCCGCATCTACCCTAAGTTAACCATGTTCTACCACGTTAACCCGCATCTACCCTGAGTTAACCATGTTCTACCACGTTTACCCGCATCTACCATAAGTTGACCATGTTCTACCACGTTAACCCGCATCTACCTTAACTTAACCATGTTCTACCACGTTAACCGCATCTACCCTAAGTTAACCGTGTTCTACCACGTTAGCCCGCATCTACCCTAAGTTAACCATGTTCTAAAACGTTAACCCGCATCTACCCTAAGTTAACCATGTTCTAAGACGTTAACCCGTATCTACCCTAAGTTAGCCATGTTCTACCACGTTAACCCACATCTACCCTAAATTAACCATGTTCTACCACGTTAACCTGCATCTACCCTAAGTTAACCATGTTCTACCACGTTAACCCGCATCTAACCTAGGTTAACCATGTTCTACCACGTTAACGAGCATCTACCCTAAGGTAACCATGTTCTACCACGTTAACCCCCATCTACCCTACGTTAACCATGTTCTACCACGTTAACGAGCATCTACCCTAAGTTAACCATTTTCTACCACGTTAACCCCCATCTACCCTAAGTTAACCATGTTCTACCACGTTAACCCGCATCTACCCTAAATTAACCATGTTCTACCACGTAAATCCGCATCTAACCTAGGTTAACCATGTTCTACCACGTTAACCCGCATCTACCATAACTTAACCATGTTCCACCACGTTAACCCGCATCTACCCTAACTTAACCATGTTCTACCACGTTAACCCGCATCTACCCTAAGTTAGCCATGTTCTACCACGTTAACTCACATCTACCCTAAGTTAACCACGTTCTACCACGTTAACCCACATCTACCCTAAGTTAGCCATGTTCTACCACGTTAAACCACATCTACCCTAAGTTAACCACGTTCTGCCACGTTAACCCATATCTACCCTAAGTTAACCATGTTCTACCACGTTACCCCACATCTACCCTAAGTTAACCCTGTTCTACAACGTTAACCCGCATCTACCCTAAGTTAACCATGTTCTACCACGTTACCCCACATCTACCCTAAGTTAACCCTGTTCTACCACGTTACCCCACATCTACCCTAACTTAACCATGTTCTACCACGTTAACCAGCATCTACCCTAAGGTAACCATGTTCTATCACGTTAACCCGCATCTACCCTAAGTTAACCATGATCTACCATGTAAATCCACATCTACCTTAGGTTAACCATGTTCTACCACGTTAACCCGCATTTACCCTACGTTAACCATGTTCTACCACGTTAACCCGCATCTACCCTAAGTTAACCATGTTCTACCACGTTCACCCGCATCTACCCTAAGTTAACCATGTTCTACCACGTTAACCCACATCTACCCTAAGTTAACCATGTTCTACCACGTTAACCCACATCTACCCTAAGTTAACCATGTTCTACCACGTTAACCCACATCTACCCTAAGTTAACCATGTTCTACCACGTTAACCCACATCTACCCTAAGTTAACCATGTTCTACCACGTTAACCCACATCTACCCTTTGTTAGGCATGTTGTACCTCGTTAACCCACATCTACCCTAAGTTAACCATGTTCTACCACGTTAACCCACATCTACCCTAAGTTAACCATGTTCTACCACGTTAACCCACATCTACCCTAAGTTAACCATGTTGTACCACGTACACCCACATCTACCCTAAATTAGCCATGTTTTACCACGTTAACCCACATCTTCCTTAAGTTAACCATGTTGTACCACGTTAACCCACATCTACCCTAAGTTAACCATGTTGTACCACGTTAATCCACATCTACCCTTCGTTAGGCATGTTTTACCTCGTGAACCCACATCTACCCTAGGTTAGCCATGTTCTACCACGTTGACAGACTTTTACCCTAAGTTAGCCATGTCCTACCACGTTCACCCACATCTACCCTAGGTTAAGCATGTTCTACCAAATTTACCCACATCTACCATGACTTAGCCATGTTCTACCACGTTAAACCACATCTACCCTTTGTTAAGCATGTTTTACCACGTTCATCCACCTATACCCTAAGTTAGCCATGTTTTACCTCGTTTACCCACATCTAACCTAAGTTAAGCATGTTTCACCACGTTCACCCACATCTTCCCTTAGTTAGCCATGTCCTGCCACGTTAACCCACACCTACAATAAGTTAGCCATGTTCAACCTCGTTATCTACTATGAGTTAGCCACGTTCTACCACGTTGACCCTCATCAACCCTACGTTAACCATTTTCTACCACGTTAACCCACATCTACTCTAAGTTAGCCATGTTTAACCACCTTTACCGTCATCTGCCCCATTTTAACTTCGCACTATCTTGTGGACCGACATATACGTCGAGTTAAATCGGTCATACTCCGTTTAAACCAACCTACCCAGGGTGAATCTCGTTTTAGTTTGTTCACCCACACATGCTCTGACACGGCATGTTCTTGCACTTTCACCCTCATGACAACTGATTAGGGTTTCAATTTAACGTGGTAGAACATGGCTAACTTATGGTAGATGTGGGTTAACGTGGTAGAACATGGTTAACTTAGGGTAGATGTGGGTTAACGTGGTAGAACATGGTTAACTTAGGGTAGATGTAGGTTAACGTGGTAGAACATGGCTAACTTATGGTAGATGTGGGTTAACGTGGTAGAACATGGCTTACTTTGGGTAGATGTGGGTTATCGTAGTAGAAGATGGCTAATGTAGGGTAGATGTGGGTTAAAGTGGTAGAACATGGTTAACTTAGGGGAGATGTGGGTTAATGTGGTAGAACATGACTAACTTAGGGTAGATGTGGGTTAACGTGGTAGAACATGGCTAACTTAGGGTAGATGTGGATTAACGTGGTAGAACATGGTTAAGTAAGGGTAGATGTGGGTTAACGTGGTAGAACATGGTTAACTTAGGGTAGATGGGGGTTAACGTGGTAGAACATGGCTAACTTATGGTAGATGTGGGTTAACGTGGTAGAACATGGCTTACTTTGGGTAGATGTGGGTTATCGTAGTAGAACATGGCTAATGTAGGGTAGATGTGGGTTAACGTGGTAGAACATGGCTAACTTAGGGTAGATGTGGGTTAACGTGGTAGAACATGGTTAACTTAGGGTAGAAGTGAGTTAACGTGGTAGAACATGGTTAACTTAGGGTAGATGTGGGTTAACGTGGTAGAACATGGGTAACTTAGGGAAGATGTGGGTTAACGTGGTAGAACATGGTTAACTTAGGGTAGATGTGAGTTAACGTGATAGAACATGCTTAACTTAGGGTAGATGTGGGTTAACGTGGTAGAACATGGTTAACTTAGGGTAGATGTGGGTTAACGTGGTAGAACATGGTTAACGTAAGGTAGATGGGGGTTAACGTGGTAGAACATGGCTAACTCAGGGCAGATGTGGGTTAACGTGGTAGAACATGGCTAACTTTGGGTAGATGTGGGTTAACGTGGTAGAACATGGTTAACTTAGGGTAGATGGGGGTTAACGTGGTAGAACATGGTTAACTTATGGTAGATGCGGGTTAACGTGGTAGAACATGGTTAACTTAGGGTAGATGTGGGCTAACGTGGTAGAACATGGCTAACTTAGGGTAGATGTGGGTTAACGTGGTAGAACATGGCTAACTTAGGGTAGATGTGGGTTAACGTGGTAGAACATGGCTAACTTAGGGTACATGTGGGTTAACGTGGTAGAACATGGCTAACTTAGGGTAGATGTGGGTTAACGTGGTAGAACATGGCTAACTTAGGGTAGATGTGGGTTAACGTGGTAGAGCATGGCTAACTTAGGGTACATGTGGGTTAACGTTGTAGAACATGGCTAACTTAGGGTAGATGTGGGTTAACGTGGTAGAGCATGGCTAACTTAGGGTACATGTGGGTTAACGTTGTAGAACATGGCTAACTTAGGGTACATGTGGGTTAACGTGGTAGAACATGGTTAGCATAGGGTAGAGGAGGGTGAACGAGGTAGAACATAGTTCACTTAAGGTAGACGTGAGTTAACGTGGTAGAACATGGCTAACTTAGGGTAGACGTGGGTTAACGAGGTAGAACATGGTGAACTTAGGGTAGATGTGGGTTAACGTGGTAGAACATGGTTAACTTAGGGTAGAGGTGGGTTAGCGTGGTAGAACATGGTTAAATTAGGGTAGATGTGGGTTAACGTAGTAGAACATGGTCAACTTAGGGTAGACGTGGGTTAACGTGGTAGGACATGGCTAACTTACGGTAAACGTGGGTTAACGTGGTAGAACCTGGCTAACTTAGGGTAGATGTGGGTTAACGTGGTAGAACATGGCTAACTTAGGGTAGATGTGGGTTAACGTGGTAGAACATGGTTAACTTAGGGTAGATGTGGGTTAACGTGGTACAACATGGTTAACTTAAGGTAGATGTGGGTTAACGTGGTAGAACATGGTTAACTTAGGGTAGATGTGGGTTAACGTGGTAGAACATGGCTAGCCTATGGTAGATGTGGGTTAACGTGGTAGAACATGGTTAACTTAGGGTAGGTGTGGGTTAACGTGGTAGAACATGGTTAAGTTAGGGTAGATGTGGGTTAACGTAGACGTGGTAGAACATGGCTAACTTAGGGTAGGTGTGGGTTAACGTGGTAGAACATGGCTTACTTAGGGTAGATGTGGGTTAACGTGGTAAAACATGGCTAACTTAGGGTAGATGTGGGTTAACGTGGTAGAACATGGTTAACTTAGGGTACATGTGGGTTAACGTGGTAGAACATGGTTAACTTTGGTTAGATGTGGGTTGACGTGGTAGAACATGGTTAACTTTGGGTAGATGTGGGTTAACGTGGTAGAACATGGCTAACTTAGGGTAGATGGGGGTTAACGTGGTAGAACATGGCTAACTTAGGGTACATGTGGGTTAACGTGGTAGAACATGGTTAACTTTGGTTAGATGTGGGTTAACGTGGTAGAACATGGTTAACTTTGGGTAGATGTGGGTTAACGTGGTAGAACATGGCTAACTTAGGGTAGATGGGGGTTAACGTGGTAGAACATGGCTAACTTAGGGTACATGTGGGTTAACGTGGTAGAACATGGTTAACTTTGGGTAGATGTGGGTTAACGTGGTAGAACATGGCTAACTTAGGGTAGCTGGGGGTTAACGTGGTAGAACCTGGCTAACTTAGGGTAGATGTGGGTGAACGTGGTAGAACATGGCTAACTTAGGGTAGATGTGGGTTAACGTGGTAGAACATGGCTTACTTAGGGTAGATGTGGGTTATCGTAGTAGAACATGACTAATGTAGTGTAGATGTGGGTTAACGTGGTAGAACATGGTTAACTTAGGGTAGATGTGGGTTAACGTGGTAGAACATGGCTAACTTAGGGTACATGTGGGTTAACGTGGTAGAACATGGCTAACTTAGGGTAGATGTGGGTTAACGTGGTAGAACATGGCTAACTTAGGGTAGATGTGGGTTAACGTGGTAAAACATGGTTAACTTAGGGTAGATGTGGGTTAACGTGGTAGAACATGGTTAACTTAGGGTAGATGGGGGTTAACGTGGTAGAACATGGTTAACTTAGGGTAGATGCGGGTTAACGTGGTAGAACATGGCTAACTTAGGGTAGATGTGGGTTAACGTGGTAGAACATGGTTAACTTAGGGTAGATGTGGGTGAACGAGGTAGAACATGGCTAACTTAGTGTAGATGTGGGTTAACGTGGTAGAACATGGCTAACTAGGACATATTGTAAGTTTTACATGAAGCTTAAAGCATAGATATTGTCAGCCATTTTGTCGTCTATATGGCATTCAGCCATTGCGTATATACCCCTGTCGAACTCGTTCAAGGCTTCAAGGCACTACGAAGATACGTCAATCTCGAACCGAAGGTCATTTTGGCTCCTTGTCAGCGATACCGCTGACAAGGCACCCGATTTGTTTTGCTGGTATAACTGCTTACGTGCGAATTTAATTATTATCAAATTGACGCGTACAAGCGGTCAAAGTAGGACCTATTCGTGACCTGAAGGGACTCAACGCCTGGTGCCTTAGCTTAGGAACCCCTTCAAACGCGGCTTTCGAAAGGCCTTAGATACTATTATGCCTCCTAAACGGGATTTTAGGT